TTATTTCTCATAATAGCAGATGCTGCAATTAATGAGAAACATTTGAAAGTTGAGTGATTTTATTTTGAGATGCAGAATAACCACACTGGCCTCTCTCTGCATTGATCAGCCACACATGGGGGCAAAAAAAAAAAACCTGTGCCCATGCATCAGCAGAACAGAATAGTACCACTTAACAATAGCTGCCTTTGCAGATCCAGCTTCTAAGCTTGTGCAGCAAAGCAGAGGGTAAATGGGAGCTGGAGAGTCTGGTTCGAATCAATAAAAGCCATCAAACACCTGAGGGGTCCCCCAATTTTCCCACAAACCACTCCACCCCCTGGGCAGGGGGGAAACAATGGCAGGGCATCAATACCTGCAATTGGGAGAAGGTGGGGCAGGAGACAGTGAGCAAACCACACAAGTGGGTCACCTCTCCTCCAGACAGCAAATGGGCACACAATCGTTTACATCAATTCAGTGCAGTGGGAGATGGAGGACAGGATGGGGAAGGGGTGCCATTAGGGATGTGTTGGTATAGAAGGTGGGCGCTGGGGATGAAGAAGGGGTGTGGAGGTTTTTAAAGCAGGTAGTGATGGAGACACAGGGGGATATAGGTGTTTTCAATTACCCACAAATTCAGAGCAATTTCCTCCTCTTTCTGACCACACCCCCCACTGTGAGGCTGATGGGAGTCCTGAACAAAGAGGCGTGGAGATTGCGATTGTTTGACTGCAGGTTGGTGGGGAGGAGCAGGGGGAGGTCTGTTTTCATCTGTCTGCCTTGTTCAACCTTTCTCTGTCACCTTGCAGCTTTTATTGGAGCCTTCTTTTTTTGCAACAGGCAGGAACTTCAAAGTGCATTTCAACTTCTGTGTAGATGTTGATAAGCCACTTCCTGAGAGCGAGCGATACTCTTATGCTGCCTAAAGATAACAGGCAAATATACACGCACTTCATTGTTCCATTCAGCAGAACAAAATCGTGCTGTTTCTGCTTTGCAAAGTGGTTAGATTTGCACTGTGGCGATGCATGCTTCACATCACTGATCACTGTCACCTTCAGTTAAAAAGTCTTCCAGTTGCTATTAGCGGAGAGAGGAGGTTTGTAAGGCTTCACATTAAATTACAGCAAATACTTGTCAGACGTGTGGGGTCCTGGAGCAGTTATGTACTGACAAAAACACCATGTGAACCATTATCCACTCATACAGGCCTTGACTGGCTCTTATCAACTCTTTTTTTGTGTTGGTAGAAACTCTTATCCCTTGATCCAAGGTCAGAGCTCTACTACTGAGTTACTGTTGATAATTCACCAATTTACTTTTTTCTCCAATAGATTCAAATCAAGCATAAATACAAAACATTCTATGATTCAACTGGAGGCTAGGATTAAATGCTGAACAGCAAGAAGGTGAATTAGCAACCAGAGGGACCCTGCAGGGACCCCAAAAACCCTGGTTCACTAAGTTAAGTTTTTGATGAATCCTAAATTTGATTAAGAACTTACCGGGACACTATCCAGTACTGCAGGGCTGTAGCTGATGATGATGCTCATACTCATAATGATGCTGCCAGTTATTTTCCTAAATTAATCTTTCAGTATGTCACATTTTGCATGTAAAAATAGCGCCCATCAAATCCAACAAAGCCCAAGGTAACCTGTTCATACACATTAGTTTCTTTAAATTAGAGAGATAATTTGTGGATAAAGAAAATTCAAATTTGAGGAGCTTTAAACTGAACATTTTTAGCATTTTTGATTGAAGAGGAATTACACGATTAATTATCATAATTGTTGCTGATTCATCTTCTGTCACTCAGCTAATTGATTCATCTTCACTGCACTGGCTGTTGGCCTTGTAAATAAAGAAGCTGCCATGTAAAATCCAATCAATCATTTAAATTGTATTTGTATATTCACAAATCACAATTTGCCTCATAGGGCTTAACAAGGTTTGTCACCCTCTGCCCTTAACTAGGGTGAGAACAAACTACCAAAAATAACCCTTTTAAAAATGGAAAAGTGAGGGATCCCTCAGGATGAACAGAAGTGCAATAGATGTCACGTGTAAGAGGGCATTAGAAAGAGTCGATCCACCAACCACAATGTGGCCACAGCCGCAATCCTGGATCTGCAATGATAAGGCACAAGGACTCTGGGGAAGAAAATGTGGTTTACAGAAGATGAACCCTGAATTTCACTGTCATCCCACCATGAAGATATTTGATATGTACATATAAAGACATGCATATCCCCCTAATCTAGCACCATAATCCGATCACAATTTCAGTTGATCAAATATTTTGAGACAGATAGCTGCAAAATCCATGACTTTCCAGTCTCGGTTGTAGCTACTTTACATTTCGTTCTCATTCGCCAAAGTTAGCGTGCTAACATGCTAAACTGATGAACATGGTAAAGGTTAACGCTCACGTTAGCATCTAGACACAGCCTCACAATGCCTTGTGAAAAAAGCACAACAGAGTCAAAACAGAATAATGAGTGCCAGCTTGTTTCCTGCACATTTTTTTTTTACCAATGCTACTGTGCACATGAGAATCCTCTATACAGGAGACAGGAAGTTTGCTCTGCTTGCAGACATTGCAACATGAACATATGAGAGGCCTGATAGCAGCCTCTATCAACCCGGTCACTTCCCCTGTTCCATAGCTCAGTAGCGAGGAACAACAAGGTAGCCATTTTACACACTTACCCTGATAGTGGGCTACATCTGAAACAGTGTGTGTGTGTGTGTGTTTGTGAAGGGGGTAGGTTACGGCTCTTTCTGGATGGTTAGCCTTATCTTCCCTCCCATGCACATTCACAATGTATGCTGCGCCAGATGGCCAGAGAACACAGAGCCACTAATGGTACCACTTGATCATGTCTTCGTTCTGCTATAAATCAGTATATTAACAACGAACATAAATGCAAAACACAGAGCGTTTGACTGATCCCCCATGTGACGCATAAGCCAGTTCATAAAATGAGAGGTAACTCTTAAAGGACAATGTAGATTTCGATGTGTGACTGAGTGTGAGTCCACAGAAGGGCTCCAATAGGCATTATCCATAATTTAAATATGTTTGCTTAAATCTAATTAGAATGGCTGCTCATGCTTGCATTTACATACTGCGTGTTTTTAGTTTGTTTATATCTATATTAGTTTAATTGCACTGCATATATGACTAAATACCTGCCACAACCCCAACACACACACACACACACTCATACACAGTGGTAAATGAGAGGCTGTGTGAATCTAGTAATACATTACTGCTCCCGTGTGGTGACATCAGGTCTGACTGCACTCAAACACATGTACTGGTGATTCTCCATGCAGGTAGTTTTAATTTTTTTTGTGATACCTGTCTCTATACTCTAATGCGATGAGGGTAGGATTTTTCTGTGTGCCACACACAGAACTGGGAAATGATGTTTAAATATTCACTGGCAACATGTCTTTACTCTGTCACATTGCTCTAATTAATCCACAGAGCTCATATGGTTAACAGATTTCCTTGGAGCTATGTTTTACCCATTATATACTCGCTAGGAAAATTGATGGAGACTGTCTTTTCATGACGAAGAATGAATGTTGAATGAATGAATGAAGTGGAAAAATAAGATGTGGAGCTGAGACAGGCTGAATGCACAGTATAATATAACGAAGGCATCTTGTACAGGCCCTCTCAAACATGGGATGTATAAATCAAAGTGTCCCATTCAGACAGTGGGACAGTGGATCAGCCTGTAGAATGCAAGGAGATAAATGGACTTCAGCCTTCAGTCATTTGGCTTTTTGAACTTGTTAT